CCCCCCCCCCCCCCCCCTTCTATTTTTGGTCTAATTGTATTTTTTGCGCTTAATGGTCGAAGATTTGCGGTTTTAAGTTTTCCCTTTGAAAAGACAACCTTTATTGATTTAGTTGTAATTGTTCTGTAGGAAGAACAGTACTTACAACGAGTGACTGAACTGGATAAAATAACGGAGGAAAGAGACAATAAACGTAAAGAATATGAAGCATTGAGAACGAGAAGATTGAATGAATTTATGGAAGGTTTTTCTATCATAACAATGAAACTCAAAGAAATGTATCAGGTATCATTTTAGTTTACTATACAACTTGTACAGGTTTCATGTCCTGGACAAGACGACGCTTTTCTTGACGGAACAGAAATATGTTGTTCTGTATATTCTATATGTTTTAAAATCATCAGAGTTCCGTACAATGTTCCTCCCAAAACGAAGGAAATCAAGAAATTTTTCCTAGAGGTTGGTCGCAGCTATGGTGCTACACAGTTCAAACTAAAATTTAGATTTAAAAAGACATGATTTTTCGTAAGTTTAGCCACATCTATATGGAGTAAATTATTAACAACGGTGGACACCGTCACCAAATTCAAATCCAATCGAACAAACCCACGCAGGTCCAGATTTGCAAGAATATATAGATCGCGCAAATGAATGCTAGAGAAACGCAAGCAGTGTCAAGAACAGTATGCTGCCAAGAGCAAAATAAAATATTCTATTTTGTGCCAATGACCTAAATCAAGCGCGCAAATCGGAGTTTGGAGATAAACGGAAACCAAGTGTCGGGGTAGCCACTTGATCCCAGCGACTATACTTGGTATCTGAAATAAATTAAACTTTTTTGTCAGATGATCACACTTGGTGGAGATGCGGAGTTGGAACTTGTAGATAGTTTGGATCCATTCACAGAAGGAGTTGTGTTTAGTGTACGACCACCGAAGAAAAGCTGGAAAAACATTTCCAATCTTTCAGGAGGAGAAAAAACACTCAGCTCATTGGCACTTGTAAGTTTGAAAATATTGTAAACAATTGCTAATAATTGTGGTTTTTGTAGTTTATTTACATATACAGTGATTATCAAACGTTTCGAGATCTGCATGGTTCCGAGGTCTGCACTGATCTCTCTATAACTGTGATAATGCTTTTGTGAAAACTATAGTTAATGCCCAGTATTTGTGTTTCAGGTGTTTGCTCTTCATCATTTTAAACCGACGCCACTATATGTCATGGATGAAATAGACGCAGCTCTTGATTTTAGAAACGTCTCCATTGTTGCTCATTATATCAAGGTACACACATTTTTCATTTTGAGACTTAGATTATGGATACATTAAGGCTATAAAAAGTCAATAACTTGCTGCCTTCGGGTTCGTAACACTCTTGTATAGTTTTTGTGTCGCCATCTTGCTTTTCGCTACTCACTAAAATTATATGAGCTGATATACAGTGGATGACTATATTATACACTTACATTTTTCGTTTACTCTATTGCTTCAGGAACGAACAAAGAACGCACAGTTCATCATCATCAGTTTACGAAACAACATGTTTGAACTGGCAGATCGACTTGTGGGTATTTTTAAAACTGATGATTGTACAAAGAGCGTGACCATCAATCCTCCTCTCTTTGCCACTGGAACGTCCATGGTCCAAGCTGAGACTTGAACACCGCATGTGTTGCTGCCACTACAGGAAGTGTTGAGGGCAACATACTATATAAAATATAAACTATAAACTATAGGCTAACTTCAAACAAGCAAGATGACAACCCATTTTTTATGGTTATCACAATCGAATTCGTTAAGTACGTGGGTCTCGCTAAGCACTATCGTGCAGCGGATGTTGGACAGCCTGCAGTTATCAGAATAAGAACACCCCAATCATTATATGCAGGCAAATTACGAGAATGATTAAGTTTAATTTTCTTTCTCCCGTCAGTGTGAATAGTTCTTGAAGTTGACCAGCATCTGCTGCTCTATAACGCTTGTACTGAAACCCGCCAATAAAACCAAAAGAAGAAATAAGAGTCACAGCTCCTATCGTAGACACTATAAAACCTCATCTGTAATATTAACCATTTGATATTCTTTATTTATATATAATTGTATCTTGTAAATGTAGGAGGTTTTTTATGATTTTTATTAGAATATATAGTGGTAGTTGAATCGTGTATACTATAGGCATTAAAATGTAGTTAAACAGACCTGATAATGCATTTCGATTTGGGTCTAATTAACTCATAAATAATTAATGTTTGTAATGTAAATGGCACAAGTGTAAATTGGTTACAAATCAACCATTTCCATTCAGTGTTAAATTGTTGCGTCACTTCCCCAAACCAACAGCGCGTATGAAACGCCGTTCCTGGCGGAGTTCTAATTCCGTTAGGATATTTGACCCTCGGAGTGAAAAGCAAGCATCCTGCCGTATTAAAGCTCATCATGTTGTTATACGCATGCGCGACTGCAAGCTAAAAGAGGACTGGGAGATCTAATTTACACAAATCAATATGTTATAAGAAACGGTATTAAGTCAATGTACTCTGCTCTGAAATTATGAATATAATCTATAGGAACGCTTGCCCAATTTTTATTCAAAGGCCTGTGTGGAGTGGCGCGTCATTCTACAACGTGCCACTGCGCCTACTGTAAGAATGCATTCAAAATGTGCAAAGAGTGCAGCACTGTATTTTGTCCCAAAGAGGGCAAGAGAGCCTTAGTAAGTACAAAAGTAAAAATAGGTACGCAGTGCGTACATGTGACTACCGCTGTGTCGCCTGAGTGGTATCATGGATTTAGCTTGCAGAAGAGTGCTAATCAGTTGTTCTAGTGTAGCCAGAAAGCGTGTAGAACTGGTGAGAGAAAAAATGTTAAGATTAGTTGAAAACATGCACAGTGTTCAGAGCAAATAAAACAACTTCGGATACTCTGTCGCTTTACCTAATGTAGCCCAGATAATTTTGTGATCACTAAAATAAGTTTCTAAAATGCCTGAATTAACAAAATGACGAAAACTGCCGAGTGTGATGTACATGCTTGTGTGACGTAGTGCTGAAGAATGCCGTCCAAGACAAGCATTTAAGAAAGAAGCCTCTGACATAGTGGCCACCACATACGCGGTAGTCACAAAAAGAACTCTGAACAAAAAAAAATAATGAGCAAAATCACGTTTTGTCGTCGGTCTGATATACCCACTGTACCACGTACATTACTGCTTTATACGCCCAGCTTTCTCGTGAAAACTATTGCGGCCCTCCTAATGTACCTCTAGTAAAATACCTCTAGTAAATATTTATTAATTATATATTTACAAAACAAGAGTCTTTACAAAGTCTATAAATTTTACTATCTACAATATTATATTAAATACAGTAATTTCATAGATATTTGCATCTTCTGCACATCCTTTTGGGACTTTTAGCTTGTTTTAAGAATTGCCATTGTTACTAGGCCTGAAAATACATCAAGGAACATATTCATTAGTCATCTTTGGAGAAAGCATTTAATTAATAATTCATCTTTATATATAAACTTTATGAATAACTCGTTTGAAACAGTACAGCTATATGCCAATTTCGAAGAACCATCCAACGACCGCAGATAATACAGAAAATTTAATATTCTGAGCCTAACATCGTGGTTTTGTACGAATTTATGTTTTATATTGAATTTTCCACCAGTATAAGCCAAGGTGTTCTTGTTCGTGTGAATCCGGGCCAATTTCAGATATAGCCACTGAGCTATATGGATATAGCCTATTAGTTGAAGGGATCGCTTGTAGATGGAAATTATCGAGTGGAAATTTATATACATTAGATTAGCTCAGTGCTGCACCGGAATCGCTGGACCGCAGATTCGATTCCTGCCAGGGACCTAAAATGTATATATATTTCCACTCGATAATTTCCATCTACAAGACCCTTCAAGTATTATTGAATCGAAAACAAAATCTTGATATTTACCCACACAGCCTATTAACCGTTCTCATGCCATGCAACCTGACCTTGTCTACCATTTTTGGGTGGAAATGCAGATCAGCGGTGGCAAAGCACGCAGCAAAACAATCTAAGTAAATGGTACTTACAAACAATATAGAACTGTGTTTTAACTTCCCCAAATGCACACCTTCGCTTGTTGCCGTATATACTTTTCCCGTGCAGTCTGCCACATAAACATGGCGGACAAGAACAAAAATGGCGGTCGCATGACATGAGAAAGGCTAATTCGATTGTCTAATAGTCACCTCCCTAATTTAAGTGCACAGGCGACAACGGTTCGAGTTCGAGGTTGCAATAGAGAGTTCAGATGACTTCCACTACCTCTCACTGGCTTAGTATACGCATCTGATTGGTTAATCGGATATATCAAACACATCTGATTGGTTAATGATCTATTAATGGTAGAGGTAGCGGAAGTCAAATCTGAACCTCTCGGATGACTAAACAGGATCACAGCTTTGAGTTTAAGTTATTGCTTCATGTACACGCAAGCATATTCAGTAAGTAGACAGCTATTTCAATTAAGGTTGTCCCCCGAGCAAAGCGGAAAAGTCGAATACGAGCGCGAAAGGCTGCTGGGAATCGCTAATAAATGAATGAATACATTAGCGATTCCCAGCAGCCTTTCGCGCTCGTATTCGACTTTTCCGCTTTGCTCGGGGGACAACCTTAATTGAAATAGCTGTATACAGTAGGAGGATTCCTTCATTGCTCATGGATGTAAAATGCATATGAAGTTTTGAACAAAGAGAATTGTGAAACCCTGTTATGTAACGGAGCATACGACATCTGAAAAGTTATCTGACATTATACAAGGTTATGACAAATGATACTTAGGGACGGACCATTTGATTTTTCATGGGGGAGGGGCGCATTTTTGAGAGTGCTCGATTTTTTTTTGGACCTCACCGACTCCGCACGATTTTTTTTTATCGAATCTTGCCGCGTGCACGATATTTTTTTAAATTTTTACTATAG